AAGTCCATTTGGCAATAGGCAGAGCCATCTTTCCCAGCAAGAGGATGAGGTGGGTGATAATATTCTACTGTACTTACATTTCTTTGCAAAAGAACTTAAATACATTCTAAAATCAATGGATCTTAGAGTGGGAGGAGATCTTAGAAGCCAAATTTTACAACTTTTAAACTGGATTTTTACAATCCCCAGGTTCTGCAGAGGTGGCACTGCGTGTTCCTGGGCTGGGGACACCAGCTGGGCTCTTGGTCCCCTCCACTATCATCTGTTTCAATGATGAGCTTTGATGTAACATTGTATTAGTTTGTTAAAGCTGCTGTAACAAAATACATAGACTGGGTGGCTCAAGCAACACAAATTTATTTTGCACATTTCTGGAGGCTGGAAGTCCGAGATCAAGGCGCCGGCAGTGTTGGTGTCTGGTGAGGGCTCTCTCCTTGGGCTGGGCCAACTTTTCACAGTGACCTTACATGGTCCTTCCTGGACGTATGTGTGGGGTGGGGGAAGAGGGAGCTCAGGCTCTCCGGTGTCTCTTCCCATAAGCACACAATCCTATGGGATCAGGGCGCCGCTCTTATTACTTCATTTAACTGTACTGGGTTTCAACATAGGTATTTCAGGGGACACAAACATTCAGTCCACCACAAACATCTAGTTTGGAGAAAAAAATTTCGATAGTGTTTGAGAATCTTCTGCCTGTGTCAGAGCCCCGGGGGACTGAGATGATGGAGGGGATGGGCCAGAGGGGGTCTTGACTCCCAAGTTTACCCAGCGAGGGGAAGGCAGGGCCTGATCACACTACAGGAGTGCATATTACGGGGCCTTCCTCTGTGGATGACAATTTAGGGAAAACTGTTCTTAGAAATAATGGTGGTTTTCTTACAGAGGACTACATAGTTTAAAAAAAGAGAGAGAGAAAGAAAAGAAAAAAAACACGATTTCCAAGTCAAACAGAAAATTTTAAAAATCCAGAATGGGGCTAAAATTGGCTACACATTGAAATTCAGTGGGGGATAATTCTCTTGAAATACAATTAAACCAAGTACACAATGAAGCACATAGTGCACGCTTAATTTATCTAGAGCCAGGGATAAGTGTTTAGTTTTGTGACAATGACTTGCGGAGATTCTGAAGGAAATTTCTGGGCTATCTTGATCACCCTTATTATTATACCTGATTCCACTTACTTGGACATGGCTGTACCGTAATTTCTGTATTTGATTTCCTAGCTATTGTTAACAACTGTGTTTTCCTCACAAATGTAATGAAGAGACAAAGAGACAGTGGACATTTTCTGGCAGTATCTGGAAAGGATCTTGGTGCGTCGTCACATCGAGCGCGTGTCTGACACACAGCAGCTGTTCAGTAGATATGTATTGGATGGATAGGTGAATATGTCAGAACTAAGTGACAGACAGGAATTCAGGGGGTCAAATGGATGCTGGCTTACAAACGAGGAAGTGATTGCTGGAGGTGGAATTTTCTGGTACTTGGTGCTTGCTGATTCTGGATGTCCACCTGCCTCCTGGCGGCCTCTTCCAAGTCCAGTCTGTGTGTCTGTGTATCAGTGTGGTCTTTGGTGTAGAGTGTGGCTAGAGGCCAGGGCAGGGGAAGGTTAGGCTGGTTCCCCGGGCCTCCAATGAAGATGCCCTGAGCCCTTGAGCTCTGTAGATGAGGTTCTAGCACATTCTCTGCTATTTTCACCCTTCTTTCTTCCTTGCTGAATTCTCCAGACTCAGTCTTCTCACCTTGCTCTTGTTCACCTTTCCACAATGTGGCCCCAGTTCTCCAGGGCTGCACGGAACTTGGAGAGAGCATTGTGGTGCTAGTGATGACTAACGCAGGTGGGGGGACCTTGTTGATGTGTCCCCCTTAAACTCATTGTGTCTGCAGGGGGTGGCATTAAGGGGACACAAGTGAATGGAGAAAAAAGACCTAGGGGTGCCCAGGAAAGGGTGAGCAGTTGCTCCAGAGGAGCCTGGGAGGGAGGCAGGAGAGGAAGGCTGGTGGGGAGTGATGTTCAACAGACTCAGACTGATGGGGCTTATCTATTCCTCCCCTCCGCTCTGTGGGACAGACCTGCCTCCATGGTCCTGGGTCAGCTGCGCCTTCATCATCAGACTTCGTCAGTCACCTTGCCCACCATCTCCATTTCCCTGCAGGACCCTGGGTCTCACCAGATATACAGATATACATTCAGGGATGGGGACTCCTGCATTACTTTCACAAACCCAGAGGCCCACAGGCTCTGCAGGGAACATACAACTACAGCCAGGGATAAAACACTTGAAGGAGATGGAAGTAACATTTCTCTTTACATGTTTCTGTGATTGCAAAAGTAGTACATATTCATTGTAGAAAATCAGCAGAGAGCTTGAGGGCTGTGAATCCATCACCGTAGGGGTCGGGCAGAGCAAAGCGAGCCTGAGAAGGATTTAGGCCTTTGAGGGCTGTGGTCTGACTTCTGCCCGGCCAAGTGCCAGGGATGGGCGGACTTTGATTCTTATGCCAGCTCAGTGACTGTGCCAAGGGCCCACGGGGAGGTTGATTTCAGACAGGATTCAGCCACCTCCTTTGTCCTCTTCTCCCAGACGCAGCTGAGCTGCTTAAAAGAAGGCAGGGGTGCCGGGGAGGCTGTGGGCTGGCTGGGAAGGAGGGCAGAGGAGAGGCCCTGCACACAGTGTCTGTCACAGGGGACAAAGATCCTAACAGTGCTTGGGAACATGGACAGAAGAGCCTGAAGGTGATGAGTGTCCCCAAGCCCACTCCATGAGTGGGAATTGGGGGTGTGGGCAGACATGGGGCTTCTGAAGTGAGTAGCTTCAGGCAGGACTGTGGTCATTCCCCACCAGGTGCTGCTTCAGCCGTTCCCATCTCTTGCCAACCCAGGCCGGGGTGGCCATCCCCAAGCCCTCCTTTCCCTCCTGCAGGAAGCCTTGGGAATGCAGGGCTTGAGCTTAAGCCATCCCTGAAAGCAGCCTGACCAAACCACCTTCCTCCCTGCCTCTCCCCTGAGCACAGATGAGGATGCTGATGTATTTGGCCTCGTCTCCTTCTCTTGGGGACCCGGGATGGCTCTTGTCACAAACCCAGAGGCTCACAGGATCCACAGGGGACACAGGCACTGCAGTTGACAGAAGGGCATGTGTCCTGGGCAGAGGGCCGAGCTGCCCTGAGCTCTGCAAACTGTAACCATGTAGGAAGGTAGCCTCACCTTCTGACATCTGGATTTAAATAAATTTTCCTGATTTTTAAATGTTGGCAACAAACCTCAAAACATTTTAAAACAATGTGCAGGCCAAGCCCCATATTACCAGAGGCTGTCTTTGACTGGCATGTGCTGGTGGCTGATACTCCGTGAGCACTTACCATGCCAGGGAATGTTCTGGTCCTTTCTGAGTAGTCAAGTTGCCATTGCCATCATCTTACCTCCCAACTTGGGAAACGATGCACAGGCAGAGGAAGTGACAGGCAGCAGATCACGATTTAATACGTGGTGTTTGGATGCTGGCAGCCTGGCTTGAGCTCCTACAAGCAAACCCTGGGGCTTTTACCCCTTTCTATGTAAGACTGAGTCCCTGGAGGGCATGGCCAAGACTTAACGAACAGCTCTGTTTTAATGAGTATTTTCTATATGCTTAGTGAGTACACGTTATCTTCAAGCCTCACAACAACCCTGTGAAGTCCGTATTAACATCCTTATGTTAAGGGTTAGAAGGTTTAGAAGGAGTGATGTTAGGACACCCTTTTCAATAAACGGTGCTGGGAAAATTAAATTGCCATATGCAGAAGAATGAAACTGGACACATATCTCTCACCATATATAAAAATCAACTCAAGGATAGACACACTGGCTCATGCTTGTAATCCCATCACTTTGGGAGGTTGAGGCGGGTGGATCACTAGAGGTCAGGAATTTGAGAACAGCCTGTCCAACATGGTGAAACCCTGTCTCTACTAAAAACACAAAAAATTAGCCAGGCATAGTGGCGCATGCCTGTAATCCCAGCTACTCAGGAGGCTGAGGCATGAGAACTGCTTGAACCTGGAAGGCAAGGGTTGCAGTGAGCTATGATAGCACTACTGTACTTCAGCCTGGGCGACAGAGCAGGACTCCGACTTAAAAAAAAAAATCAACTCAAGATGGGTTAAAGACTTAAGTGTAAGAACTGACACTATAAAAATCTTAGAAGAAAATCTAGGAAAAACTCTTCTGGGCATTGACCTAGGCAAAGAATTCATGACAGAAACCTTAAAAGCACAAGCAACAAAACAAAAAATAGACAAATGGGACTTAATTAAACTAAAAAAGTTTTTGCACAGCAAAATAAACCATCAACAGAATGAACAACCTGCAGAACAGGAGAAAATATTTGCAAACTATGTATCCAGCAAGGGACTGTTATCCAGAATATATAAGAAACTCAAACAACGCAACAAAAAAAAAATCCAAATAATGTCATTAAAAAGTGGGCAAAAGATATGAATAGATTTTTTTTTCAAAAAGAATACATGCCAGGTGGCTAAGAGGCATATGAAAAAATGCTCAACATCAAAAGTCATCAGAGAAATGGAAATTAAAACCACAGTGAGATCTTATCTCACACCAGTGAGAATGGCTATTATTAAAAAGTCAAAAAATAACAGATATTGGTAAGGATGCAGAGAAAAGAGAACACCTATACACTGTTGGTGGGACTGTAAATTAGTACAGCCCCTATGGAAAACAGTATGGTGATTTCTCCATACTGTCTTAAAAATAGAGCTACCATTTGATCCAGCAGTCCTACTATTGGTATCTACACAAAGGAAAAGAAATCAGTATATCAAAAAGAAACCTGCACTTGTATGCTTATCACAGCACTGTTTACAGTAGCAAAGATATGGAATCAATCCATCAACAGATGATTGGTTAAAGAAAATGTGTGTGTGTGTGTGTGTTTGTGTGTGTGTGTGTATGGAATGGAACACTACACTGCCATAAAAAAGAATGAGATCATGTCTTTTGCAGCAACATGGATGAAACTGGAGGTCATTCTTTTAAGTGAAATAACTCTAAAACAGAAAGTCAAATACCACATGTTCTCACTTGTAAGTGGGAGCTAAATAATGTATACACATGGACACAGAGTGTAGAATAATAGACATCGGAGACTCAGAAGGGTGACAAGGTGGCAGGGGGTGAGGGATGAAAAATTACTTAATGAGTATGATGTATATTATTAGGGTGATGGTTACACTAAAAGCCCAGACTTCACCACTAGGCAATCTATCCACGTAGCAAAACTGCAATGTACCCCCTTAAATTTATTATTATTTTTAAAAAGGAGTGACTTTCCTGAAGCCTCTCAGCCTCGAGTGTAGAAGGCTATGACCAACACTCAGGTCCATCTGGCTCTTTCTGTGCCGCCTGGTGTCTTTCTGAATCCTTGTGTCCAGCCTAGGGCCAGGCTCCACGGGGCCATTAGGGAAGGTGGGTGAGTGTCTGGGCTTGGCCGCTGAGGCTGCTGGGCAGGACTCCAGGGGCAGCCTCCCGGCCTGGGGCTCAGTCCAGGATGGTAGGCTCACTTGGCTCGGTCCTTCTCGCTCTTCTGTGGTGAGAGGCACTGCCAGATCCCCCTGCAGACCATTTCATTGCCCAGGGCATAGTTGATGGCATTGATTGTAGGCACCATTTTGGCAATGAGGGCGGGCACCTGTTGTGGCAGAAAAGTCCAGAAAAGAAGCTTCAAAGCCACTGCTCCTCTCTCTGGTCCCACCTGGCGACCCCAGTCACCCCCACCTGCAGCTGCCAATCATTTAGTTCTGCAGCCTTGGAGCCTTCCCTGACTAGTTGGCAGAGATTCATGGCTCATGGAGCCCATGGAGTCATACTCTTGTCCAGACCCACCTGCTCCCAGCCTGGGTACCAATCTCAACCCCTAGTCACAGAGTCCTTATCTGCACCATCTGGCTGGCTGTCCCTGTCATCTCACATGAGGTTTGGGCAATGTCAAGTAGCAGCCTGGTATGACTCAGGGACGAGGTAGGGGATTAGGGAGGCAAACTAATGCTCTATGCATTGTGAGTATCCAAAGGAAGAAACACAGAGAGGAAGAGACTGACACAGAGGCCATAAATCCAGAAAGTGAGATGAGGTGAGACAGAGACACAAAGACTGAGAGGGGTCTAGCTTTGGGTACTAGAAGTATCTGTACCATCTGCAGTTTGGGGGAGATGGAAGTCACGTCTGCGATGACTGCGTATAGATACAGGATGGCATAGGGGCCCCAGCCGAGCAGCAGCGTCCTTGCTGGCAGAGTGGTGTTTACCTGGGGAGAAATTGTGGCAGGAGATGTCAGCTTGCTCCAGGTGGCCCACAGCCCCATGCGGCCGAGAAGACCAGGTCAGCACTCAGCAGGGCTGGGCAGCATGAACCAGGCTTCAGGAGGGAGCTGAGTCTGCAGGGGAACTTGGGACCAGATGGGCCTCTCTGTTGTTTAAGACTGTGTGACCTTAAGCCTTTTATTTAAGCTTGCCTGACCTCAGTTGCTGTGTCTGTAAAATGGCCTGATAATACCTGACGTGGCTGGAGGTCGAGACTGGGTGGATAATGAGCTTCCTCCTGGGTTGTACTCTTTGTTTGTTTGTCAACAGGGTCTCACTATATTTCCTAGGCTGGTCTCGAATTCCTGGGCTCAAGGGATCCTCCTCCTTCGGCCTTCCAACGTGCTGGGATTCCAGGCATGAGCCACTGTGCCTGGCCCGGGTCTGTGCTCTTTAAGAGGAATCCTGGGCTCTGTGACTGCGTGCTCAAGGGGCCCCAGGCTGAGCTGCCCTCAGGCCTCAGTCCTAGAACCAACTGGTCATCCACAGCTACAGCCACCTGGCGAGACCACCCTGTCTGGGCTCCCAATGTGAAATATAATCAGCGGGCACGGGGCTTGTCCGGAGAGCGGGAGACGCTGGGGTGCCGCGTGGCGCCATGAGGGGGCGCAAGACTTGCGCTTTAATTTCAGCCGGAGCGGCCGGATTCCTGCCCCCCGCCCCCCCCCCCACACACACGCGAACGTGCAAATTCTGACGCTAAAGTTCTTGCCTGTTTTCTCCCTGACATGACTTTCTTTAACAAAGAGGGTGATTAAGTTGGAAGAGAACATATTTTCTTCCATCTTGGATTTTTAAAATATGTTGACCAAGAGACTTTTTTTTCTCTCTTAATTGTCCCTTATTTGGGGGTGGGGGGAAGGGAGCTCAGCACTGCGGGGCCCTCCCGGGAGCCGAGGCCGTGAGAATTGGAATCCCCTGGAGAGGCTGTGCGGTCTCCGGAAGCCGCTTAGCTTGGGATAAGGTCCCCGGACCCCTGCGTGTGACCTTGACGATGCCCACCAGAGACAATGGTTTAAAGTCAACCCAGAAAAATGAGGAGATCATGGTGGCAGCCTTGTCTCCCGGCTGCCTGTGCCTCCAATAAATGTGAACTTTGCGCCTCCAGACAGGGTTTGGGATGGGCATCGCGGAGGACAGCCTGGAGGCGGCGCCTATGCTAGCTGCCAGCTGGGAGCCAGGGGACTGGATTCTGGTCCCAGCAAAGTCCTTTCTCTCCTTCTGACCTCGGGGGAGCATCGGGGCTGCAGCTAAAATAGATTTGCACAGTCCTTTTCCAATTTACAATAAATAAATAAAGTGGCAGATGAAGTGACTTAAAAAAAAAAAAAAAAAGAGAGTTTCTTTCATGCACTGTGATTGACCACGTGGGTGGTGGAGTCCCAGACCTAAGTTTGAATCCAGGTGTGTGGCTTTTGGTAAATTGCTTAGTTAACGCCCATCTCAACCTCAATTTTTCAGTCCACGACACAGGGATAAGAAAACCTCCTTCTGGCCGGGCGCGGTGGCTCAAGCTTGTAATCCCAGCACTTTGGGAGGCCGAAATGGGTGGATCACCTGAGGTCAGGAGTTCAAGACCAGCCTGGCCAACAGATACAAAAGATACAAAAATTAGCCAGGCATGGTGGCGGGTGCCTGTAATCCCAGCTACTAGGGAGGCTGAGTCAGGAGAATCGCTTGAACCCGGGAGACGGAGGTTGCAGTGAGCCGAGATTGCCATTGCACGCCAGCCTGGGCAACAGAGTAAGACCTTGTCTCAAAAGAAAAAAAGAAAAGAAAAGAAAAGAAAAGAGAAGGCTGGGCACAGCGGCTTATGCCTATAATCCCAACACTTTAGGAGGCAGAGGCAGGCGGATCACCTGAGATCGGAAGTTTGAAACCAGCCTGACCAACATGGAGAAACCCCGTCTCTACCAAAAATACAAAATTAGCTGGGTGTGGTGGCACATGCCTATAATCCCAGGTACTCGAGAAGCTGAGGAAGGAGAATCGCTTGAACCCGGGAGGTGGAAGTTGTGGTGAGCCGAGATTGCGCCATTGCGCTCCAGCCTGGGGGACAAGAGCAAAACTCCGTCTCAAAAAACTAAAAAAAAGGCCGGGCGCGGTGGCTCAAGCCTGTAATCCCAGCACTTTGGGAGGCCGAGACGGGCGGATCACGAGGTCAGGAGATCGAGACCATCCTGGCTAACACGGTGAAACCCCATCTCTACTAAAAAATACAAAAAAAAAAAAAACTAGCTGGGCGAGGTGGCGGGCGCCTGTAGTCCCAGCTACTCCGGAGGCTGAGGCAGGAGAACGGCATAAACCCGGGAGGCAGAGCTTGCAATGAGCTGAGATCCGGCCACTGCACTCCAGCCTGGGCGACAGAGCGAGACTCCCACTCAAAAAAAAAAAAAAAACTAAAAAAAAAAAAAAAAAAGAGAAAACCTCCTTCCTCATAGAGTGGTTGCAAAGATGAAATAATACTAAGATCTGAATTTGTTCTAATCTTTGTTGCTTGTTAGGACTCCTTTGTTAGAGGTCATCCAGGTGACCAAGTTAAAATAAAACCGTGGCAAGGGAATAGTAACGCAGAAATTTAAAAATGGCTAGGAGGGCTTATTTTGAAGTACTATATTTCTTGGACAAATGTGCTTATAGGTTTGATTTTTATCTTTTGGACACTACCCTGTGACTGTGATTAAATTAAACATCTCAAAGCACTTTAAAAGCAGCATTTAAAAAGACTGTAACTTAGTGCCAAACCTCAGATCTTTGGCAAGAATTAAGTGGAACAGCAGGGATGGTGTCCGGCAGGGAGCCCTGGTCGCCAGAGTTACCAGGTCTGGGTGAATCTGAGCAGTCCTGATCCTTGCTCCCCAGGCCTTAGCGATCTGAGCAAACAGAGGGTAGTTTCCAGTTCTAACATCCTATGCTGTGCACAAGCTGGATTTTCTCTTGATCATTGAAAACGCAGAAAACCCCTGGTTGCTGTCTGTCACATTGTTCATATTCCCTGGTGTCCCTGAGTGGAACCGAGAACTTTCTGCTGCTCTTGAGGCAGGAGACTAGCAGAGGGAATTGGAGGTTAAAGGGCAGAATAAGTAGAAGCAGAAGCAAGGTGAAGAGGCGGTGAGCAAGAAGCAAGACAAGAAACAGAAGTTGAGCAACCAAAACAAAAATAAGATTAAAAAGTGAGTAAGAAGCTCCCATGGCCGGCTAGATCTGGACCAAACCTGTCAGGAGCAGTTCCTCAGAGATGGGCATGCGCATTAGAGAGAAAAAGTATCCTTAAAATGACCCTGTATGATAATAAGCTCATTAAGGCTCATGCATATGGACTGCGTATCATGCATGTACTTAAGATTATGGGATGGAGGTGACAGGCAATCACACAAGGGCCAAAGCGACTAAGTAACCTATCAATCAAAAGACAGACGCTGGCTAGAGATTAGGCAGCCTTGGGAAGAAGAAAAATAAACACGTAAAAGAACCCAAAATACACCAAACTGGTGCTGATCTCACTTCGCAGAGATCGGTCCGCCCTCCCCTCTCTGAGAGTGTAATACTGTGCTGAATAAACTTTTGCTGCTTTGCTTTGCTGCAAAAGCAATGAATATTTGCTTTGCTACTTGTGTGTGTCACATCCAATTCTTCATTCGGGACACCAAGAGCCTGGGGCTGCGCTGCACCGTCAGATAACACTCCGGGAGGGGTCCTTACCTGGAGATGACCGCTCTTCCCCAGTTTCTGCTCCATGAGACTGTAGGACGTGATCGTGATGAAGAGGGGCATGGCAAAGTTGAAGAAGGACATGGTGAAGAGGAAGCTGGTGAAGTTTCTACAGGGAGAGCGGATGGAGGACTGGGGTCAGCTCTCAGGGATGGTCAGCTGCCCTCAAGGACCCACCAGCTCTGCTCTCGATGATCGGATGTGGGAAAATGCTCCATTCACACAAGTACTCAGTGTGATTGCTCCCGGGTCCCAGGTAAATTCCCTTTGGGAGCTACGAGGTCCCCCTAGAACTTGCCTTTAGAAGCCAGGGAGCTCCGAGGAGGAAGAGGCCTCTTTCTTTTTCTTTTTTTTTTTTTTTTTGAGACGGAGTCTCGCTCTGTCGCCCAGGCTGGAGTGCAGTGGCCGGATCTCAGCTCACTGCAAGCTCCGCCTCCCGGGTTCACGCCATTCTCCTGCCTCAGCCTCCGGAGTAGCTGGGACTACAGGCGCCCGCCACCTCGCCCGGCTAGCTTTTTGTATTTTTTTAGTAGAGACGGGGTTTCACCGTGTTAGCCAGGATGGTCTCGATCTCCCGACCTCGTGATCCGCCCGTCTCGGCCTCCCAAAGTGCTGGGATTACAGGCTTGAGCCACCGCCCCCGGCCGAGGCCTCTTTCTTGTTCAAGTGCTTAGCCCTGCTTTTCTGTTTGTCCCCCAAGCATGAAGAATGGGAAATTTTAGTTTGGGAAACATGTTCACCCAATGGTGGGGATGTCAGTGGACCAAGAGGAAGGAACACTCAAGGAGCATTCTAGGCCCAAAGGTTTTAAAAGGAGACTGGATAACAAGAAGATTGGATACTACGTCACTGAAGAAATGGTTGAAGGGACCACAGAAGAGCCTGGGTTCCCAGGTAGTGGTCATGGGGAGGTGAAGGGAATGGTGGGAGTCCCAGGGAGGCAGATTCCCATTAGAAGGGGAGACTATGTCACCTTGGAGCTGTACACCAGGGAGGGGCAGCTGGAAGTACTGGACCCTGGCTGGGGAGAGCCATGGAGGGACACTTGGACCAGGCCCAGCATTCTCAAAAAGGCATCACCTGGAAAGCCTGTCGTCCAGTGCAGATGCCTCATGATTAAACACCATGGGTAAAGCAGATGAATGCAACGTGGCTCTAGTGGAAGCAAGAGGGGCTGGAGCCCATGTGACCATTCCTCAAGGCAGTTTCTAAAGGATCCCCCTAAGCCCTTGTCTCCCTAGAGCCGCCTGATGGGGCAGTACCAGAACACGAGCCCCATGAGGGTGGGGACCCTCATGCATTCAGTTCTGTTTCTCCAGGGATTGCCTCATAGCGTATGCTCAGGGCATTCCCTCCCAGTGGAAGGACCATAATGTTCTTTGAATCTATTGTGCCAAGGGTATGGCACCCTCTAGAAACTGATGAGGTCAGAGCCATGATGGCCGACTGTGCTGAAGACGGCAAAGAGGTGGTGTGGCTTGGTGACTGTTATCACTGACACAAGCCAATGGCTCCCTGTATGATGTCTCTTTTTGGATTCAACTCTGGGTCCCAATTTTCATAGCATTCCCATCACCCGGCCAGTTTTCAGAACAGGCTTTTTCCAGTCCCAATGTCTGCCTACATGTGGGTATCATGACTAAGGAGTTGAGATTATCTGGCAAATATTCACATTTCCCCATTTGGATTTTCAGCTGGGGCACCCTTGTAATAGGAGTTCGAAGCCAAGATTCCCATGGATAGGAGCCTCGAAGCTGCTCCTCCCACCTCACCTGTCCCCTTTGGAGTAGTCCAGGGTGCAGCATGTCCCCAGTGGCTCATAGTCATAGTGGCCCCAGCCCAGGAGGGGCAAGGCTGCCCAGAAGGTAGAAGACAGCCACACGAAGAGCACCAGAGAGATGGCCGAGTTCCAGGCCAGCTGGCTGCCTGCCCAGGACAGAGGACGAAGAGGAGGTTGTGAGGGGGAGATGGCCTGGTAGAGTGAGAAAGAATGGACTTCCCTATCTTGAAGAGTGCCCCTTCGAGTGATCCACCCGCCTCAGTCTCCCATAGTGCTGGGATTACAGGATTGAGTCACCACATCCTGCCAGAAGGAGGTTTTCTTATCCCTGTGTCATGGTCTAAAAAATTGAGGCTGAGAAGGGGATTAACTAAGCGAGTCACCAAAATGAGAACCACAGCTCTGCCTCAGGCAAGTGAAAAGCTTCTCTGAGCCCCAGTGTTCTCGCCCACAAGGGGAATGATAATCCTTGCCACAAGGGGAATGATAATGAGTTGCTCAGAGGATTGTTATGAAGAATGAAATAGATAATGGATGGTGAAGGTCTCCAAATAGACACACTATACCATCTTCTTCAGAGGACAGAGACAAGGAGGGAATGGCAAAGAGACAGATGTGTTTTCAAAGCCAAAGTTCAGGAAGAAGCATGGGCAGGGGTTCAGGTGAGGGTCATAGGGGATGGAGGCAGAAGTCTGGACTTACCACCATCCTCAGCACTTGCTCAGAATCAGGCCACTGCCCCTGCTTCGAGGATACCCTCTGAGAATGCTTGACTCGGGGGTTGGGGCTCAATCTCAGTGCCAAAGGCAGAGGCTGAGTCCCAGCAGCATCTTTTGATGTGAACCAGCCATGCTGATTTGACCTCCTCTGATCCCTTCCCTGAAGCCCCCTCTCTGCTGCAGTGTCATTGGGTCCTTTCCATCCAGTGGTTCCTCCTGGATCTGGCTTCAGGATGCACTTCACAGGTGCCCTCCTCTGTCTACTGTTTATTTGTCATACTCCTTTGTGTCTAAGATCCCAGGGCAGAGGACAGGTCTCTAGGTGGGCTTTGATCAGGAGAGAAGAGCACATCTACAACCTCCCTCATCTACACTTTGCTTCTACTGATATGGTTCCAGATGGAGTTTGCTTGGATGTGACCTTCTGATATGAACTGAATGTTCGGGTCCCCTCAAATTTATATGTTGAAGCCCTAATCCCCAGTGTGATGGCATTTGGAGGTGGGGCCTTTGGGTTATAACTAGTCCATAAGGGTGGAGCCCCCATGATGCGATTAGTGCCCTTATAAGAAGGGACACAATTAACTGGACGTGGTGCATGCGCCTGTAGTCCCAGCTACTCAAGAGGCTGAGGTAGAGAATCACTTGAACCCAGAAGGTGGAGGCTGCAGTGTACTGAGATGGTGCCACTACATTCTAGCCTGGGCAATAGAGTGAGACTCTGTGCCAAAAAAATAAAAGAAGGAACACAAAAGTGACAATCTCTCTTTTTATGTGAGGACATGGCAAGAAGATGAACATCTATAAATAAAGAAGCAAGCCCTCAACGAACCTGTCCATGCTGACACCTTGAATTTGGACTTCCCAGCCTGAATAACTGAGAAATAAATTTCTATTGTTCAAGCCACCCAGTCTATAACATTCTATTATAGGAGCCTGGGCAGACTAAGATACCTCCCACCCCAACCGTGGGCACAATAAATATGTGCATGGATAGGAAGACTTGATATAGTCAAGAGGTCAGTTCTGCCAATCTTTTAAAAAAATTTTTTTTGAGGCAGAGTCTTGCTTTGTCACTCAGGCTGGAGTGCAGTGGCATGATCTCGGCTCACTGCAACTTCTGCCTCCCAGGTTCAAGCAATTCTCCTTCCTCAGCCTCTCAAGTAGCTGGAATTACAGGCTCATGCCACCATGCCCAGCTAATTTTTGTATTTTTAGTAGAGATGGGGCTTCACCATGTTGGCCAGGCTGGTCTCGAACTCCTGACCTCAAGTGATTTGCCCACCTCAGCCTCCCAAAGTGTTGGGATTACAGGCATGAGTCACCGTGCCTGGCCTTTTCTTCTTCCTGTTTTTGTTTGTTTGTTTGTTTGTTTTTGTTTTATTGAAGCATGGTCTCATTCTGTTGCCCAGGCTGGAGTGCAGTGGTGCCATCTCGGCTCACTGCAACCTCTGCCTTCCAGGTTCAAGCAATTCTCTGTGGGCACAATAATGAATACCTACCTGGACCCTTGTGCTGCCTCAGACTTTCAGCTTTAGAAACAGATGGCCAAGGTGACATGCCTACAACCTCCCAGGGATGGAGTAGATGAATTCAGACCTCCTCATTCCCCTTTGCCTGCCTTCACACTGCTCTGCCATGCTCTCAGTATAGAAAGGGCTTTGATCTAAGGCCTCTGGCATAGGGATTAACTGTTCTATATTGAGGCAGAGAAGCCTGTTGCTGTCTGAGAAGGTGGTGTGTGTGTGTGTGTGTGTGTGTGTGTGTGTGTGTGTAAGATGGTCCAAGGGATCACTGGGGCGGGGGCTGGGATGGAAGTAGTGGGAGAAGCACTCTGAGACCAGGTGGACAGGAAGGCTAAACTATTGCCACTCAAAATGATGAGACCGATGGAAGCATTTTGGCCTGGAGAGACCCATGACGGGCAGTGACTTTGCAGGGAAGGCGGCTGTACATGTGACTATGGCAAGGGAAGTTCTGTGGATTCCAAAGAGGCCATGCCACGGCTTGAGCTGTGCTGGCCATAGACCTCACAGCAGCCTCTGTGCTGAGCAAATTCATAGCTCAGGACTTGGATGTACCAGGTCATGCCCAGTGTCAGCTCTGCCCTTAGTAGCTGTGTGACCCTAGGCAAGCTGCTTAACTTCTCTGTGCCTCTGCTTCCAAGGCTGTGAGCTGAGGGTTTGCTAGGAGGGTTAGCTGAGCCACAGCTCCCCAAAACATGTTTATGTACCCATGGTGGTGAATAGGGTTCTGGATGGTCTCTGGGTGAACAGGTTTTTATTTTAATTGTATTAAAATTATAAGAACATTAAACCTGTGATTTCCCAGATGTTGTTTAGAATGAGCTTGAAGCAGGTGTTTACATTTTAAAAAATGAGTCACTTTTAAGAAAAAAAAAATCAAGGAGAAACAGAGCAGTTTGTACACTGATATGGCCAATTATGAAGATGGTATTTGACCATGCAGATTGGGAAATCTAGAGCTGGACAGTTTTCATGAAGCCTCATGGAATGGTTGGGTGCCAGGGCACATGCCCAGCTACACACATACACCCAGCCTCTCTGCACCTCCGTAGTACCTATCTGCAAGGGCATTTTCTGTAACCCTGATCTCATTTGATTTTCAAAATAAAACTGAGATTGGTTATTAAAATCATCTCAGCTGCCGGGCGCGGTGGCTCAAGCCTGTAATCCCAGCACTTTGGGAGGCTGAGGCAGGCGGATCACGAGGTCAGGAGATCGAGACCATCCTGGCTAACACGGTGAAATCCCGTCTCTACTAAAAAACACAAAAAACTAGCCGGGCGAGGCGGCGGGCGCCTGTAGTCCCAGCTACTCGGGAGGCTGAGGCAGGAGAATGGCGTGAACCCGGGAGGCGGAGCTTGCAGTGAGCTGAGATCCGGCCACTGCACTCCAACCCGGGCGACAGAGCGAGACTCCGTCTCAAAAATAAAATAAAATAAAATAAAATAAAATAAAATAAAATAAAATAAAATAAAATAAAATCATCTCAGCCAGGCGCAGTGGCTCACACCTGTAATCCCAGCACTTTGGGAGGCTGAGACAGGTAGATCACGAGGTCAGGAGTTCAAGACCAGCCTGGCCAATATGGTGAAACCCCATGTCTACTAAAAATACAAAAATTAGCTGGGCGTGGTGGCGTGCGCCTGTAGTCCCAGCTACTTGGCAGGCTGAGGCAGAAGAATCGCTTGAAACCAGGAGGCAGAGGTTGCAGTTAGCCAAGATCGAGCCACTGCACTCCATCCTGGGCAATAGAGCAATTCCGTCTCAAAAAGAAAAAAAAAATCATTTCATATAGGAGGAGACTAAGGTTCAGAGAGGATCCCTGACTTGCCCAAGGTTGCAGTGATGGCAAGATAGCCTCAATAGCTCTCCTGCACACTCTCCCACCCTCCCTCCTTTCCTGAAATGAGTGCCTACACATGATAGGCATGCACACTCACACCCACCCACACTTCCTGCCCTGGGAAACAAGGAGCTGTAGCTAGTTCTGACTGCCCCGCCCTGCCTCTTATCCTCTCCACACTGCATCGGTGTCCCTCCACTGGAGAAGCCCAGATACATACGGGTGCAGTAGTGGTGATAGCGCCCCCAGGCGATAGCTGCACTGCTGCAGATGCTGGCCAACGCTGTCACAAAGCCCTGGAAGCCGTGAGCCTGGCAGCCGTCCGAGCCGTAGGGCCAGCGCCTGTGGGAGACACTGGGCACCAGTGACCCCTCTCCTCCAACCCTTTCCACCTCCCACACCTGCCAAGTACAGCCTGGAGTGTGCGTTCCTGAATCTTGCCCTGCTTCTCCAAAGACGGCCTTAATATCGGTGTCTTTCCTATGAGGTGTTAGAGCTTAAGTAACTGGGCTGAAGGGGTAGAGCCCGATGCACACTCTCTATGCTCGGTGACTTTGCACCACGGTTGGGCCATAGGCTCTCTCTGTGTGATCAGATCCCACTGTCACAGGAGAGCTCATGCCTGTAATTGATAGGTGGGGAAACTGAGGTTCAAAGAGGCAAAGATACTGAGGCCAAGGTCACACAGAAGATGAAGGCAAAGTCAGAGGGGGAGATCCCAGGCCTCCCCAGCCTAAAGGGCCAAACAAAGGTGGAAGCTTCAATTCACTGTGGGAGGAAGAATTCTCACTGATGCAGACCCCCCAGGCTGGTCAGCACGGAGCATGCGCATCCAGGTGGGCTCCAGCCTCCATCTGCAGTGTCCAAAATCAGAATGAGAATGTCCAGTCTGCTTCAGAAAACAATTTTATAAACACCTTCTGAAGCTGTGATGGAAGACCCTGGTTTGTGTATAAGGAGGTGTTAGACGCTAGCTAAAACCCTGTTTGTTTTCACACTTACTTAGAGTCCTAGGTATCAAGCATTATTTTAAGTTATTTACACATAATAGAAGTAAATACTTCCAACGAACTATATGAGTTAGGAAATAATATCCGATTTATGGAAGAAGCCCAGAACTAGAAATGCTGAATGAAACCAGAATGCAAACCTAGGTTGTTTGGTTACAGAACCTATACCATTGATCTCTACAGCCTGCCATCTCTTTCATCAGGTTTCAGCAATCCCTGTCTTCCAGAAATCAGCGGTCATTCTTCAGAATCAATCTGGAATTCAGCCCATTTTAGCTTGCCCACCCTCCGCCCTTGGCCAATTTTCTGTAAGTAGTAAAAATGCCCTTGGCTTGGCTGCCCAGGACCCAGAGGTTAGGCCCCAGGCAGGACCTCAGGGCCTGTGGACTGGGGAGGGGGCTGGTACCGGAGAAGGCTGGATGTGGCTGCAATGAGGGCATTCAGGCTGATCCCACTGTCCGCAAGAGCCAAGCTCAGCACCAGCAGGTGGCAGGGAGTCCGCAGCTCCGGGGTCTTGCAGAAAGAGAAGATGGTCAGGGTATTGAGGCTGAGACCGGAGAGAGCTGAAACGAAGGGTTGGGGCTGGCATTGGGGCTGCTGAAGCCCAGCTGGGGACAGAACAGGGTGCGTGGGGTGGATGGAGCATCAGCAACCTCCCAGACAGACAAGAAAGACAACCAATATAGCGTAGCATGCTTCATGCTATAACGATCATAATCACTGACACCTGCCGGGCACTTAGCGCACACTAAGGATAAGCACTTAATATGAGTCATCTCATTCAGTCTTCACTTGGATACGCTCTTCTCCATTTGTAGCTGGGAAACTGAGGTTCAGAGACACTAGCCAACTTGCCCTAAGTACACAGCTAGTAAGTGGTGGAGCTGGAACTTGAATTCAGGCCTTTTGCATTTCAAAATGCCTTCTCCAAGGACTGTAGAGCAAAGTCAGAGAGCCTGCAAGGAGAAGAGTTGATGTTAGAGCTGGGAGCTGCCCAGGACGCCAGGCAGGGAAGTGAGCTGAAGGGGGCGTACTCTGGAAGCAGACAGACCCGACCTTGAATTTTGGCTCGGTTGCCTCGCTTGCTGCTCCTTAAGCTCTCTGAACCTCAGCTTCCCCCATCTAAAGTGAGGAACAGGAAAAAAATCCCGCCTTCAAAACTGTGAGAAGCACTTACCTGCAGGACAATGCATGGAAGAGCATGCTATTCCAGGAGGGAATAGCATGTGCAAAGACATGCTGTGGTACAATGAGATGCCACCTTACTCCTACAAGAATGGCCATCAATAAAAAGTCAAAAAACAATAGATCGATGGCATGGATGTGGTAAAAAGGGAATGCTTATACACTGCTGCTGGGAATGTAAATTAATACAACCTCTATGGAAAAGAGTATAGAGATTCTGTAAATAACTAAAAGTAGATCTGCCATTTAATCCAGCCAAAAACACACATGCACATCTATGTTTATTGTGGCACAATTCACAATTGCAAAGATACGAAATCAATGCGAGTGCCCACTGACCAATGAATGGACAAAGAAAATGTGGTATATATACATCATGGAATAATACTCAGCCATAAAAAGGAATGAAATAATGTCTTATTACAGCAACTTGGATGGAGCTGGAGGCCATTATTCTAAGTCAAGTAACTCAGGAATGGAAAATCAAATACTGATTGTTCTCAGTTACAAGTGGGAGCTAAACCGTGAGTATGCAAAGGCATTCAGAGGACATAATGGACTTTGGAGACTGGAGAACGGGAAGTGTGGGAGACGGGGTGGGATTAAAAAAACCTACATATGGGAGGGGGGAGGGATTGCATTGGGAGTTATACCTGATGTAAATGACGAGTTGATGGCTGCTGACGAGTTGATGGGTGCAGCACGCCAACATGGCACAAGTATACATAAGTAACAAACCTGCACGTTATGCACATGTACCCTAGAACTTAAAGTATAATTTTTTTAAAAAAACCTACATATTAGGTACAATGTACACTACTCGGGTGATGGGTGCACTGAAATCTCAGAATTTGCCATGATGTAATTCATCGATGTAAACAAAAGTCACTTGTACCCCCAAAGCTATTGAAATTTTAAAAATATTTTTAAAATAAAATAAAATAAAAACCAAAGCATTATGTATACAATGACATTTCTAATTATCAAACATGAAATAAAAATGTAAATTTAAACCCCTTCCAAAAAATAAAGTGGTAAAATTTTATGGCATATTTGAGGACCTGGAGGGATGCTAGATTGCAGGGTTCTCAGGAAAGGGAGACACCGGCTGGGGCCACCAGAAAGTCATGTCCAGAGCCTTCAGGACCAATCAAATGACTGTCACTTCCTCTCCATTGTCAGTTCTCATTAGAGACTGATGATTTCTCTGGGTCTGCTTTGAACCAAAGCTGCATTCTCCCTCAACTTAGCTCAGGCTGGCGCAGATTCAGGATTGACACTGTCTCTAGCTCTGGCCTCAGCGAGCATCTTAGGGATTCTAGGTGGAGGTAGGTAGGTACCTTGCGGACCTAGAGGCGAAGTGCTTAGGCTCATAGGAGTAGACACAGTGAAAATAATGGTGGGGCTGGAGAGGATGGGAGAGAATGAATTTAAATACCCTGGAGTCTATTTAGGCTAGCACTTTATACCCATTATCCAATTTAATCTTTACAACCACCCATTCGGAATGTCAAGGCATTGAGGGCAGAGAGCTGAAGGGACTTGGTTCCAGTCACACAAGAGCAGGTGGCAGAGCTGTCTGTCCCCAGAGCCTTTCAGGGGACTGATCTTATGTGGGATTCTTAGCAGGATTTCTAAGGAGTGGATTAAATTTCCTCCCGACTGGAGGGACATGAAAAGTCCTAAAGCCTGGCTCTTGATCATCTCCTGGGCAGATGTCCCCTCTCAAAGTCCCTCCCTCCCTGACCCTTGCCTGGCTTACTCTCTGCTTGGCAGGCAGTGTGCTGCACCTCACAGGTTCAGCTGTCAGAACACCCCCTGAGTCCAGGCACAGAGGGGAAGGCAGTCAAGGGGACCTGACACCCAGCTGGATTTGGGGACCTCGCCTCTCCTTGCCAGCTCCATATTGGTGGCCTGGGTCCTCAGAACCCACTGGGCCCCTGCTGCACCCCAGGTTCTGCCTGGCTCACCTTCCACCAGCAGCACCATCCCCACAGCCAGCACCTCGAGCTCCCCAAAGCCGGTGGGCAGGGCACTGGTCTCTGCCATCCTCACTCTCCCTCCTGCCAGTGGCCCAGCTGTCTCTGGCTTCCCGCAGCCAGGCCCTCCCTTTTAAAGGGCCATCCCATGTGCATGGAGGCACATGCACGTTATTATGCTGGACCTTGGGCTCTTTCTGGATGCCTCCCCCCTGCAAATGGTCCTCTTGGTCCAAGCAGAAGGAACCCATTCACGAGTTGGACAATGCAGCCTTTGTGAAGCCAGAATGGAGCCCTGTCTCATTCATTTCAGCCCCATTGCACAGGATTAAGGTCGGGGAATCCAAATGGTGTGAGACTGAGAGCCTTATTGGAAAAGAATTGCATAACCAAGGGAGGGGAGCAGGAGGAGGGATCTGAGCCGCAGCTGTTCCTGACAAGCCCGGTGCCTGGGCGCGTGTGTCCTCAGGCTCACATGTGTGTACTCCAAAGCGCTGGGGAAAGGATGAAGTTTGGGAAGTCACCTGTTGTCAGAGGAAGAACCCCAAATGGGACCAGAGAATGGGTTTCTGGTTCTGAATCTGTCACTAACTAGTTATGTGCCTGGAGTGGGACCACTAGACTCTTTGTTTACTTTTCTGCAATGTCAGTGTCTTTTGTCTGCGGCCTCTGTATAAGTCCCGGTTAGATATCATGAATATAAACCTCAGAGCTGCATTTCCTGTCTCCCATAGAGCACTTGAGCCACATGAGCAGAAAAAGTCTCCTAGGACACTGTCTTAGAACAGAGGGGCTGCCGTCTTGTCAGTCTCCGCCCCCCAACCCGCCCAGCCTTGCTGGCCCCGCTAAGAGCTTTGGCTGCTACAAATGACTTCCTGACACACTGGCTCTTTATGCATTGTTATGCTCTGGCTCGTGATAAAATTTACACAGGAAACACTGATCTAGGGCAACTTAATTCATTTTCAGATTAAGAAACCAAGCTCCAGAGCACTATTGGCAACATAGCTAATATTGAGCCAGGTCAGGCACTGTGCTAAGGGATCTTCTGATGAGTCCTACAAACAACTCCTTGAATTGGATACCATTATCCTTTCCATTTCAGACAAGGAAACCGTGGCTAAAAACAATTAAAATCTGCCTGAGGCCATGCAGTAATTTATGGATGGAGCTGGAACAAAAGCCAATCTCCTATTCCTCAGGCTTAGGCACTTTTCAATGGCATCTTTGACGCACTCTGGTAGAGCAACCCACTCTGTTCCAGGAATGCCCACTTCCCAGGCCTTTCCTTTCATGAGTCCTCACTTCCATCTAAGCCTAATCCCTCCGCAGGGCTGAGCTTATTTTTGCACCCTCCAGAGCGTTCCCTGTTCTTTCTCAATTTCTTTTTTTTTGTTTGTTTGTTTGTTTGTTTTGGGATGCAGTCTCGCTCTGTCGCCCAGGCTGGAGTGTAATGGTGCAATCTCAGCTCACCGCAACCTCCGCCTCTCAGGTTCAAGCCATTCTCCTGCCTCAGCCTCCTGAGTAGCTGGGATTACAGGCATGTGCCACCATGCTCGGCTAATTTTGTATTTTTAGTAGAGACAGGGTTTCTCTATGTTGGTCAGACTGGTCTCGAACTCCCGACCTCAGGCCCGCCTCGGCCTCGGAAAGTGCTGGGATAACAGGCATGAGCCACCGCGCCCGGCCTTCTTTCTCAGTTTCTACCTTATGGTGTTGGTTAATACATATGTCAGTCCTTTTTTCATGCCTTCAAGGTCACAAAAGCCTTCATGAGAGAAGATAAAGCAGGGCAAGGCCAAGATTAAACGGTAAAGTTCATTTGGGCAAAAGACACAAGGAGGAAGAAGCAGAGATATGGAAACAGGCACATCTGGTGGCTGGGTTTGGGGAGGAGGAAATATAGCTGGGAAACACTGGGAAAATCCTACTGGCTGCACTGGAAGGAAAGAATGAGAAACCAGTATTGTCAAAACTGACCTGGCACCGAGCTAGGCATTTTATGTGTGCGCTGGGGCCCCAGAGATCTTTGCAGGTCATATACCTCACTGGTCTAGGCCTGCCTGGAATCACAGGCATGAAGGACTGGGGAACCCTCTAGAAAAGTCAAACAATATAGGTAGGGCATGCTGGACTAGAGAACAATGCCTCGGGGTCAAATGTGAAGAATAAATGAGCGAGTCAACTGAGTGTCTACTATTAGGAATCATCCCTGGTCAGTGCCCACCGGCACCTTGAGTAGATATGGTAAAGTGAGATAGGGTTAGGAGAGAATAGGTAAAAATTGAAATTAGGCTGGGTGCGGTGGCTCAGGCCTGTAATCCCAGTACTTTGGGAAACTGAGGCAGGAGGATCACTTGAGGCCAGGAGTTTGAGACCATCCTGGGCAACACAGCAAGACCCTCTCTCTACAAAAACTAATTTTTTAAAAAATAGCCAAACATGGTGGTGGTTGCCTGCAGTTCCAGTTACTCAGGAGGCTGAGGTAGGAGGATGGCTTGAGCTCAGGAGTTCGAGGCTACAGTGAGCTATGATTACACCACTGCACTCCATTCTGAGTGACAGAGCAACCCTGTCACTATAAAGCAAAAGAAAGCTTTATGAATGGAGAATTTCCAAAAGTCCTTATTAGAGGTTGGGTTCTGTCTCCAAAAAAACCTGAAGTGCCTTCTCTAAGAACTCTCTGAGCTACCTCTCTGGGGCCGTTGCTGGAGTACCATCCATTGAGGAGAGGGGTGCCCTTGTCCCTCATGTGGAGACATCCCCACCTTTGGCATTCATAGTAATGCCCAGGAGGGGCCAGCTGAAATAGCAGTGTGCTGAGTCCATATCCATGGGGCACTCAAGGCAGGCAGCTGTTTGCCTGGCAGCCTGGGACCATTTGCGGGCTCATGAGAGACACCTCTGATATCTCCCCAAAATATCTGAATCTGTCCAGTTCCTCTGTAAGCAGGGACTTAAAAGAACCAGTGAAACTGGGCACTTACAACTTATGAGGGAGCTTCTGTTCCCACAGGCTATCAAGGCCTTGGAATTTGAGTTTAATTTTCACAAACACCCTGCATGGAGTAGCTTTATTTCTCTTTGTCGGATAAGGACACAGAGGCCAAGAGAGAATGTGACTCACCCAAGGTCACAGCCCATTAATGAAACAGCTGGGATTTGACCCCAGGAAGCCTGGGTCCAGAGCTTAGCCTCCTTCCAATGCCTTTAGCACCGTCAAGAAGCGTTGCTTCATTTCACTGCTTTTTGCTGGAAGACAGTGTCAGAGGAAAGAATTTCCAAAGGCCCTTATTGAGGCGGGGGTTCTGTCTCCATCTTCCCTGGCACTCCACTGGAGTCTGTGTTGTCCGTGGCCTTGTTGGGATGGGGTGCTTTGCAGATGACAGTCCCATGGCTGTTCGCCTCTCGGAAGCTGCCTACTTGTCTTGCTTTGCTGTGCCCTGGCCTCTCTGGGCCTGTCGCTATTGCTATGGAGGGGGGTCCCCCGCCACCACCCTCAGGACTGAGTGATTCAGAAAGCAATAAGCCGCTGAGTGCTGGGGCTGGGACTCCCCTCCCTAATCCCCAGCCTGTCAGTGTTTATCCGATGGCCTCAGGAGGGGGTGTAAGGGGCTGGCGAGCAAGTGGGCAGCTGCTGGGCTTGCTGGGCTTGCTGGGCCGGTGGGACGGAGCGGTCCAGGGACAGGCCCCTGCCTGGGCCAGAGAGGAGCCAGGAGCCATGAGGGTGGCATTAGGCATGCTCTGGCTCTTGGCCCTTGGGTGGCCCCCCCAGGCCCGGGGGTTCTGCCCCTCTCAATGCAGCTGCAGCCTCCATATCATGGGTGATGGCAGCAAGGCCAGGTATGGTACTGGGTGTGTGGGATGGGCAGCCCAGCCTCCATTGCTCTGCCAGCTAGGCTGGGTTGGGAGGAGTTGGAGCTGGGGCCCTGGGTGAGATCTTCATCTCCCCTGGCCCCTGAGGACCAGGGGTCTTATGGGGTGGTCTGTGCTGCATTATTTTCCAGCAAGCAAAGGGGTGACTCTGTCCGAGAGGTACCAGGTATCTATACACATGGGCCCGAGGGTGAAGCACAAGTGTGTCAGTTCTAGGAAGTCCTTCCTGAGTCCTCCTCCAGGCTCCTGGAGGAGAAGAGCCCTCCTTAAACGTCCAGGAAATCCCTTCCCTTACTGCTTTCTTTTCTTCTCCTTGATTTTTTCTATTCCTTCTTCTTTTCTATATTTCCCCAGCCCCTTCTTTCCCAGGCTCTTGCACTCTCTTGCCTGACCTCTCTACAATGCCCAATCATATTTCCTATGACCTCATCCATGATGGGACCACTTGCCTCTCATTCTCTTCCTCCTCTCAATCTTCGCTGGCCAGATCCCAGGAGCCTCAGCCTCAATCCCTTTTTATGGGTGCTCCAAAAGCCAGGAGTGCCCATCCCATGACAAGCATGCTTCCTTCCATCCCCAGCCTTTTCCTTGACTTTCCCCACCCTCTGTCTGATCCCTCAGAGCACTTCCAATCGCTCCTCCTCTCCTTCCATGACCATTCCCATGCCACCGTGGCTTGTGGACCCTTGTTCTTCCACTACTGCTCATTTTCTTCTTTTTCTTTAGCAACCTTTAAGACATCTTTTCTCCGACTTCTTTAGCTTATCCATTAAAGACCTCTGCATGGTTTCTGAGCCACTGATGGTTTCTGATCCAGGGAACAATGTTATCGGAGCTACCCTTTTAATAATCTTGGTAATGAATGTCGAGTTGATTGGGGGAGGAGAGGAGGCAGAGAATGGAGAAGAACCACTAAGAAAAGACCCTTCAAATGATCTGAGAACCAGAACGAGCTCCACTGTAGCCCAAGTGTCCAACGAATCAACTCATATGGAGGGTAGGGATCCTGTCCCCAAGAGAAGCCAGGCTGAGCCCTGAACAGGCTGTTTCCAGCCTGGAGAGTGTCACTGGAGTGACAAAAAGCCTCCCATCGCCCATAGGAGGCATAGGGCTGAAAGACACACAACATCCTTGATGAAACCGGTCCTGGAACCCAGGCATTCCGATTCAGTTTTCAGAACACTTTTCTGGTGATGCTGCCATGGGCAGGGACCAGTGATAAGTTCCAGGCAGCAGAGTTAG